GGGGCACAGACTCAGAGAGAGAGAGAGAGAGAGAGAGAGAGAGAGAGAGAGAGAGAGAGAGAGAGAGAGAGAGAGAGAGGGGTTATGGATGGGCAAAAATGAAAGCTCTGATATTGATGTGTGTCTTGCCCGAAATGAAAGCTCTGATATTGATGTGTGTCTTGCCCGAAATGAAATCTCTGATATTGATGTGTGTCTTGCCTGATACTGCATTGCAGGCTCGGGGCCACCGAGTGATGGCCATCGCTCCACGGTACGATCAATACAAGGACGCTTGGGACACACAATGCACCGTTGAGGTAAGGTCTGTCTGGCTGACTGTGGGACCGTGTGGGTCCGTCTTTATCTATGTTTGCTGATTCTTTAGTTGTGTGCGTAGTTCGCGCGTATGCGCCTACGGCTGCCCTTTGAATGTATGCTCGCGTGCATGTTTCCATTTCTCCTCTACTCAGTCACCAGTTAGCAGGCTGGTAGAGGCCCCTTCGCGTTGTATCTGGAACCTGGAGTCTCGGAGGGTGAGACACAGTCCCACTAGCTGTGCGTTTTCCTTTTATTTGTGTGTGTGTGTGTGTGTGTGTGTGTGTGTGTGAGAGAGAGAGAGAGAGAGAGAGAGAGAGACAGAGAGAGACAGAGAGAGACACAGAGAGAGAGAGAGAGAGAGAGAGAGAGAGAGAGAGAGAGAGAGAGAGAGAGAGAGAGAGAGAGAGATGCTTGTTCTATTTTCGTTTCGGTGCTCACGTGGTTGTTGTTTGTAGACTGACGTGGCGAGCGGCAGGACTCCGCAGGAGTACGCACTCACACTCGGACATGTCTAAGATTTACATTCTGAGTACTTGCTCATATTCACTGGAAAAAGCCGGTAGAAAAAAGAAAAGATCCAGTGTCGATGTTATAATGTTATTACATCTCTAATCAGCATGATTCCGTGGCTCATGGTGGCCATGGGCTGGGTCCACGCGTCAACTTTTGACAGGTGGCCGTTGGAGGGAGGGTGGAGACCGTCCGATTCTTCCATCTGCGCAAGCGAGGTGTTGACCGGGTCTTCGTGGACCACCCACTCTTTCTGGAGAAGGTACTCTCTCTCTCTCTCTCTCTCTCTCTCTCTCTCTCTCTCTCTCTCTCTCTCTCTTGGTCTTTTGTATGACTCACTTCAGAGGGTACTCACCATCCTCCACCCGCGGTCCTTCTGTCCTTTTTTCTTAACTTGCAGAGCTTAATAATCCTTAATTACAATGACGATAGTCGCCGGCCTGAGCGGCCTCCTTTGTGTTTCTTTCCTTTTTTGGCTTTACATTTGACTTAAGAAGGTGCTAGTCCACCATATAGATCAGATCCTTCCCCCGCCTCCCCCTCGCCCCCCCAAAAAACAAGATCGGAGCCTCGCCCCCGACCGCCCCCCCAAATAGATCAAAGCTTTCCGCTACCCCCCAAAGGAAAAAGAAAATCAGAGCCTTCCCCGCCTTCGCCGCCCCCCCAAAAAGAAAATAGATCAGAGTCTTCCGCCAAGCCGGGCGCCAACCCCCCAAAGAAAAAGAAAAAAAAAGATCAGAGCCTTTCCCGCGCCCCCCAATTAGGACCAAAATGGCCGGCCAGAGCCAGTCAAAGGAGGACAAAAAGTCGCCCTGAAGTTGTGGCCACGCTTGGCGCACGGGGATTTGAGGCTTGTGATTATTTGGCCTCGGATGTACTGCTGGTTTTAAATTAACGTTTGTTTTCCTGGAAACATCAGAAAAAAAACGGCTGTTTCTGCAATTCCCCCCCCTTTCAGGACGATAATCTGTCACTAGGGCCTAGGCAAGGCAACACAATTCGACCTGGTGAGTTTGAAGTATGCAGGCAGGCCAATTCCTGATGAATTCCAAATGAATTCCAAATCGAAACACATCAAAATGGTGCTGGCAGTACCAAACAATAGAAAAATTTTACAAAAATAGGTCAAATTATCTNTGAATTCCAAATCGAAACACATCAAAATGGTGCTGGCAGTACCAAACAATAGAAAAATTTTACAAAAATAGGTCAAATTATCTATGATTAGATTATTATAAAACAAATTAGCAGTGGTTAAAGGATTATTGGTCAGCAAATTGAATAGAATTGTCATCAAAACACTCAGTAAACCCAACCATCCCACATTACGCACTAATGGTGGATAATCATATCTTTTTGAAGTGCTCAGAATCACTCCATAGATAAGTAATAAGATAGTGGCATTTATAAGAAAGATTTCTGGAAAGATGGCTAAAAAAATTCCAAATGAATTCCAAATGAATTCCAAATGAATTCCAAATGAATTCCA